AAAAGTGGAATGAAAAAAAAAGGAGTCGTTCCTCTCGCTCCCCAGCCAAGATCGTCCGAAACCCCTGACTTCGAGAGCTCCCATAAAATGACTGGGGTAACTTTTTTACTTTATCATCCGGCTATTCTGCGAGCTACTTCGGCGTGCTTGCATATACGCGACCGTAGGTACGTAGATAGATAGATAGGTAGGTAGTAGGTAGGTAGGTAGGTAGGTAGGTATGTAGGTGGGTAGGTAGGTAGATAGGTGTAACTGGTATTACATACATACGAAGGTAAGGTAAAGCACGCGAACACGCGAGTACGAAAGCGCGATCGAAGTAACCTAGAGTCTCCCCGTTTCCAGGCCGACGTCGCGCGACTCTCCTCGAGGCTGCTCAGTGATATAAGTACGTGTTTGGCGCGACGCCGGCTAATTAAGCATATCTTTATCGCAATATCCGCGTCTTTCTCTTTTTAAAAGCGAATATTTTTTTCGCGAGGCATTTCGAAACAAATCGCATAGAGTCCCCGTCGAATGGCAGTCGCTAGAAAAGAGGACGTCGAAAATCGTTTCGGTTTCCCAAATTGTCCGGCGTTGCATGCTCGGTGGTGCGGAAAGCGCCGAATGAGGATAGTCGACGGGACGCTGTCGGGGAGAGGGTAGGGAGGAAGGGTTGCTCTCTCCCCTAGGAGAGCGTTCATTCTATATGTACAAAGGCGCGAAACGCTTGAACGACGAATACAGAAACCAGGTACAAACCGGCAGAACAAAATGCACCGATGGCACGCGCAAGCGGCTGTCATCCGTCATTACATGTTGTGCTCGATTTTTGGTGCGCTTTTTTTTGTTTGTTTCAACCGTTCGTTCTTCGTCCGCCTCAGCGCCGAGCCCTTTGAAAAGTACCGACGTCTACTCTGTCAATTACTGATAAAAACGACGACAGGTTGCGCGGCGCGAACGACAGGCTACGACCGAAACGCGGGTGGCTGGAATGTAAATTATCACGTCTGGCCGGACGATAAATAACGCGCGACCTCGCCGAGCCCAAAAATGCGGCGGCCGTTTTGCCTGGGTTAAAACGATGTAAAAAAAAGGGCCGATGATCCCGCGAGAGAACAACTTGCGCGTCATTCGTCTAACTGCAGAAATCCGTTGAACGTCCCTATACACCCTGCGTAAAGTGATACAATTTTTTTCTCTCTATGAATCTTTCCCCTATTTTCTAAACATTTTATTGAAAGCAGTGACGTTTGAGAAATTTCTTTTTTCACGTCAAAATATTTTTTTAAAAGTCGCCCGCGATATCTCGCGTGGCCTCCCCGACGCACGATTTCTCCGGTTATCTCAATCGTAATAGCGGTGTATTATGGCGACGGGTCTAACCAGATTCGTAGAGAGATATGATTACGGTAGAAACGAGTTTTTCTTCGCTTGACATGCCGATGAAATATGATCACGGCAACCAACGTCCGTGGAACGTGGGAATGTAGGTGTATGCGGCATCGTTCAGCGTGCATAATGTCTCATAAAACGCGCGGCGGGGTTATTTTTCGGGAAACAACGACGGTAGCCGACCGTTTCTATCGCGTCCGACTGAGAGAACGGGGATATTTCATCGTAGATTTTTCCCTACGCGCGTTTGCATGCCAAAAAAATCAAGATTTCAACGCAAACAATACATAAATACGATAAATGATCACCTACCCATGATATATAAATTTTTCTCAATTACATTATGCTAAATATACGATTGTGTTTAATATGTACGTGACTATTTATAATATTTATTTTTTCATATTCAGGTTCCTCGTATCACTCGTTAATTACGGTTCTTTTAGTCAGTTTGAAATAGATATCTCGTCGATGTTGAAATATAGATATTGAGAGTGCAGTCCTATCTAAATTTTAAAAGTGCGAATAAAAAATCTATTAGAGACAGAATATAAAAATATACATTTTGAGATGAGTAGGTTCAAAATCCGAAATTCTACGACTTTCGAAACACGATTGCAGCAAGCGATTTCATTTAAAAAATTCGCAAAGCTATTTTCTGGATGCTGCCAGAGCCAGCTACCCCGGCTCGGTGTTCTCTTTATGGCGTCGAAAAATCTATTTATTGTTTGCTTCGCTCGCTTTCGGTTGTCGTGCTGAGGTCGAGCCGTAGAGAATCCATTTTACAGCGTAACGTCGAAAAGCAGGACGTTGACATACCGCGCGACCGAGAGAAACGATAGTGGAAAAAGAGAACGGGAATAAAGAAGAGAGAAACAACCAAAAGAGGAGAACACATGAAAGAGCAATCTACGCACTATGTATCTCTTATACATATGTACGCGTATATGTATGCATTATAAAAGGTACTAGCGCGTACTACATCGTATCTGAAACGCGCTACGCCGAAACGGAAATGACGTGTGATTTGGAAATATTCGCCGCCTACGTCATCACGAATTACCAGATCTCGTCTGTAACCGGGACACACCACCGGCGGCATTTTTCACAATATACGCGGCAAAGTCAGTACACGCTTGTACAACACGTAACTCGTACACGAAGCTAGCCGGAAACGCGGGAAAATGCGATCCGCCGAGAACAAAAGAGAGAAAGTGGGAGAGAGAAAGAAATAAATGAAAAAAGACGCGATCTCGATAGCTTCGTTCTCTTAGCTCGCGAGGGAGGCGCTCCTTTTTACTCCACGAAGACATCGCCACACGAACGAGGCGAGCCTCCGAGGAAATCTTCGTAGTCGACCCGGACTGTTTCCTTTTCCTCGAGTTAGACAGGACAGACGAGACGAATCTGCATTAACTATAGATTCTACCCATCCTCTCTATCACGTGGTCCGTTCTCTACTTCGACCGTGTCTCTCTCCCTCTTTCTCCTCTCTCTTTTTCCCTCGCGACGTCTTTGCCTCTTTCTTGTCCGCTTTCGACGTCGCTGACACGGAGTGCCAATTTTCCGACCGACCGATGGATAGAAAGCCGAGCGACCGTCGCGTTACGCGAATTAAAAAAAAAAAGAGAAAGAAACAAAAAGCGTCCGTGGATTTCCCCGGCGTGTTACCTAAATGCACGCCCGTCCGTCGACTGTCGGGGAGAATTGCGGAAAACGGAGCTATTGAATTCAGATCGGCATCTCCATCGGGGAAAATAATTCGTTCCGCACTGATCGTAGCTAACTCTCGTCATTCGTTACTAACAGTGCGCTAGTCCCACTATACGTTCGCAGGACGTTGAACGTTGGGTGTTCCGCGCTTTTTCTGAAAATAAATCGATATTTCGAGTGGATACCCGTGATCGGTAATTCGATCATCGTTCGAACACGTTCGCAGGGGAGCTTTTAAAAGCGTATAGCGCACCGATTTTCCATTACCTACTTACTTGCTTTGTTACATTGACCCGGCAGCAACAACGCCCCGCGCGTTTTGCACATCGAGTATCGATGCGATATTATCATTTCCCACATCGCTGAAACTCGCATCGAAATCCAGCGAGAGCTTTCCGACAGTTCGAATTAGGATTACGTCGCGACATAATTAATTGACTGAAATGTTGGGGATGTATCATCGTCATTACGGAGTCAGCGTAAAGCTCGCCGGATTACCGACTGCGGCGACAGATTACCGCGTAATGATCGCTCAGTTAGCATTGCATCCGGTCATCCGATCTCTAAATTCACGTTCGCTGAACGACAAGAAATATGCCATGATGTTTTGTACGCTAACTACAAAGCTTTTCTAATCTGTAAACCAGGGGACTCGCGAGGCATCGCCTCGTTCGGTCAAGTTTAACAGTAAGCGGTCTTAAAGTCCGTAAAGTCTACACTCCATTGCCATATCCAAGATTGCGTTGGCGCCGAGGACTTGCGAATCACTCCTCCGTCAAAGTTCGAGCAAGTACGCGCCAGCGTATTCGTATTTTTTTTTTTTTTTTTTTTTTCGACGAAAATGCATGTACGTACGCGAAAAACCTCGGTTACGCGGAAATTATTCGTACTTTCGACGAGTCGAGTTTTAATTGCGAGCAAGGTGTCGTGCTGACGCAACGCTGACACATGTTCGCGATATAACATGCACGCAAATTCAGCGCAATGCGTGCGCTCGCCATTTAGTCACCAAGCCGCTCCCTCGAAACACGCGTTATTGCTCGTCTCGAAGAGACGAGTTGACCTGGGGGGCTTTTTTTCGAACCCGGCCCTAGGGAGCGGCAGTCGCGTCGACGATGTTTTTCGTCCTTCGTCTTTTTCCGAGCGTTCGGCACTCGCGATGTATTATAATAGTCCGTTCTCTATTTTTCCGCTTCCGCAGAACAGTGTCCTTGAAGCGTGAGTATTGTATTTCGAATGAGAGAACGTTATATACGCATACTTTCTCACACAATAGTTCGTTTCCTTATTTTCTCGCTCGCGCATAAAACGGCGAGAGTCTCTTGCGTCGCGCTTGTAACGAGATTATTACGACCACGGCTAATTTCGCGAAACGATCACGCGTATCGAGATATCGAGTCGTACTTTGAAGTCAAAAATATCATCGCGAAAAAAGGGGAGAAATTATAATTTTAATTTTTATAAGCGTTCCGGTGGACGATAAATTTTTTTTGCATGCGCCATCGATCGAAAGCGAACGACCGACAGCGGCGTCATAGCTAATAAGTAAACCGTAATAAATTACGTAGATCCAGGACGTTCGTTCGTGCAAAAGGATTATCTCGTCGCGTTTAAATAACGCTCGAGCGGACGAGCGTATCGGAGCTTTCGATCTGGTTTCGCGACGCGACGCATGCGACTCGATTCTCTTTTATACGCGCGATCGAACGCGAGATACGCGCGTGGAAAAGTGGCGCGTCGCTCGGGCTCTCGTAGATTTCGAGAGTCCTAGGAAGTGAGGAACACTCGCGCTGTCTCCGCGGTCATTGTCCTCATGAAATGTCCACAGCGGAGAGAATTGTTCGTATCACGTAATAATCGGACGAGAAAGAGTTTTTAACACTAGAACATTTTTTCCGTTGATCTTTACTCACCAGTATTCTGCGCGATAATCGGGTCAATCGCCAGCAACACGACGAGGAAGATAGGAGTCATATTGACCACCTTCTTTCCCGCCTTCCCTCGGTCACCCGTGATCACTGCACACTTAACACCACAGCAGCGTGCCACCTATGAAAAGATAAACCACCTTCGTCATAAACATACCACCTTCATCACTGTGAGGGAGGACGAAGAAAAGCAGGACGATGAGATGATGTGACACGTCTTCCTGATGAAGAAGACGTTGCTCCGCAAACGTGACACTGGATAGTGATTGGTAGGATCGAAAAATTCCTCTCCTTCGTCGCACACACAGGCGCCGCGAGGAGAAGATTGTTCCAAGGGGAAAGAAAAATCGGACACGTTGAATTCTAGAGCAGTACGACTTGAGCGCGGACGATCCCGCAGAGATTAGCGTTCTCGCTTCTCGTTCAGGCAGGAACGAGGAAGCGTAACGAGAGGTTTGAGCTACGCGTAAAAAAATACTTCTGTCGTTTCTGATGCGTTTGCGATAGAACTGTACAAAACGACGGAATAACGCAAATGTGCTTATTCAGCGGCTGTCGAGGGAAAGTATCGACACACTCCATTTACCACACACATACACACTTTCTCTCTCTCTCTCTCTGTCTCTCGCTCCCGCTCTTTCTCTGTCTCTTCCTCGCGCGCGCTAAAATATTCCGCAAATGTATCGAAAAACAGATGTCGACGTTAGGGAAGAAAGAAACGCGCGTTTTCCTCCGAGCCGGTCGCTGACATCGTAATAATGACTGCGATCGTAGTGTGCCACTTTCCCACGGCGGTATCCCTCTGTATACTCTCGTAAAGTGAGACTATTTACATTCTTCCACCGTCGCCGCGTCCGTTCGTGCTAGCTCTTGCCGGTTTAATGGAAGGATCAATTTTGGAAAGGATGTCACTTCTAGACTGGCCTCCGAAAGGCAGAACGTTGCGATGTATTTCCCAGGAGATGTAAGATATTTCCACTTTACTCTCCCTCCGACATTTTCCACTCTCACGTCGCGACTCTTCCTTCTTGTTCCGTTTCGCCGAGTCACCTTCGTCACCTTCGTCGTCTTCTTCGTGTCGTTTTCTCCTCACTCTCTTTCTCTCTCCGATACCGACGACAGGCGCTAATAAGCTACGCGCAGCAGCTTCAGAGTCCGTATTTGCTGGTTGTAAATGATTATCTGCCGCCTCTTATGCCGACACTCCTCTGCCGTTGACTCTCAAAAATCCCACATTCTTGACTGTGGGCTCTCGTTGCGATTATCTCGACTCTTTCTTCCTGTGATTCCACGACCATCCCATATTTTCGCGCGTTCCACGCTCTAAGCCGAGAGCCCTCACGACAAAGCTTTTAACGAGCTTTGCCGCGCAAAACGTTGACCTTAGACTCGGCGCTGACCACGGATCCGACTCGTGTTACATCCTCCACGTAACTGGCTGTAATTGTTCCTCTCTGCTTTCCTTTAACTTTCATCAGGCGGATAGACTTTTCATTTTCCACTTTATGCTCTTAGCGCGTTCACGTTATATTCTCTTTTCCTTTGATTTTCCGTTAAGCAAAGTATATATACACATACATATATACGACGCAACTCCGCTGAGAAAGTCCAGAAATAGAATAGCTGGTTTTTGATAAGACCACTGTAAAGAGAGAGTGCTGTAACGCGGCCCTTTTTCGCGAAACAATGGCGGAGCGTTGTATAAAATGTAGGAAGCTCTCTCCAACTTTCGTCAGGAAATGCGAGCGATCCGTTCTGTTTAGCGATCAAGCCGAGTCCGGCAGAGTCGGGCAGAAATTGTTTCGCGAGAAAGAAAAACGAGACGGGTACGATTAATAGTAGTAGCTCGCGTGTTGATATTTGTACGGCGGTATTACAGAGGTACATTGCACTCGCGACTACGAACTCCTTCGAATCTTGTTCCGTGCTACCTCTCTCGCCGCACGCAACGTTACGTTCCTCTCAACATTCGAGCACTGCGAGTATATTTTCCACGGTGTTTTTCGCTGCATTTGTATGTCTTCCAACACGTTGTTTTCCCGTTGCACTTCCTGTCCCTTGTCTCCAAAACGTCGTACTCGACGTTCACGAGAACTTAATCCAATTTCTCAAATTCGCGAACGCTCGCGTTTCCGGTCGTCCTTCCCATTCTTCCTGTCTTTTTTTATTTCCCCAAATTTTTAACAACGATAAAAACTTGGACAATAATCTCTCGTGTCTTCTCTATACGTCTTTTTCTCCCTACTAGGCGTAACAACACTCTAAATAATGCCGTGTGTCGCGTTTCTTGTGCAAAGCGTGGAAAAGAGTCAGTTTCCTTTGACAGCTTGGCTTGTTTTTTCGGAAGTTTCACGTTTTTGAAATTTTTCAGGGAAGGAGCAACACGAAATTCGGCGAACGCGAAAGAGCCTCGGACTTCTATCGCGTACCCGCGACTCAATTAATAAATTACTCCGGCGAGCGTATGAGACCCCGCGTTAAGGGTAGTTTTCTGAACGCGCGCTGCGGCCTGACTGACTCACCCCCATGCCCCCCGACGGCACCCCCCACCCCATCCGTCCGCCACCGACATTCCTGACGCAGGCGCATCGGCCCTCTCGACCTCGGGATCGCCGTACGTACACGTACGAATTCGCGCCAGACCAGATTTTACGACTATCGAGAGATACTCTCTTGGTTCTCCTTTCTCTCATACCTCTTTTTTTTCTCACTGGACTAAAGTCGCGAGTTACGAGCGAGTTTATGCATTCCGGGATATATGTCGGGAATGCAAGTCGGGCGGGAAAACTTGTTGGCCTTGGAAATTTTTCAATATTCTTCGCAACGATGTTTCCATCTCGAAAAATGTATTTCCTCCTCCATCCGTTAACGTTCTTATTAAAGTGACGATGTAAAAAATGATCTTTCTTTCTCACCGTGAGAGAGATACGCGTGTTATAACTAACAATTCCATCTCGCAGAGTGTGAAAATTGATCGCAAATCATATCTTGTGCGAAATCGTTAGCGGCACTGTTACGAGCGAGCGAGACGAGAGTGAGAAACGGGAGCAATTCGGAGACCCGAAGAAAGGGAAGAAGAGATAGCCGCGAGTTAGGTAGGGGGTTGGTTTCGGCGTTGGTTTAAAAGCGACGCATGCGTCTCCCGCGTAAGGGGATGTCCGGGGTGAGCTGCTTGCCGTACTCCGGCCGACGTATCGCAGTTTCTGGCTTGATGTTTGTCCGCGTGGTACTCCCAGGGACGGCTGTGCTCGTGGCAACCCACGAGGGTGCCGCTGACGTACCTCCTGAAGGAGCACCTCTCACACGAAGAAAGTTGACAAAGCGGATAGAAGGGGAAGAAAGGGAGAGAGAAAAAGAGAGAGGGAGAGGAAAGAGAGATGAAAATAAGGAGGAGGAGGAACAAAGAGAACGTACGCGGCAAAGGAGAAATTATCGATACATTACGGTGATCACGATCTGCCATGCTTGCGCCTTCTTGCTTCGAGAGATAGTCCGGGTCTTTTCCTTCTTTCTTTCGCGCCAACACTTGGACTTTTCGTCGTCCAGTCGCGGAACTCAAGAGACTCCTGGGAATCTACATGGAAGACGGACTCGGTGGGACCGATCGTTTTTTCAACAGGTAAGTGCCGTGACGCGTTTACATGTACATATGCCGGTGTATATTCGTTCATGTGTGCGTTTGAACGGGACAAATCGAATTTCCGATTGTACTAAAATATTACGAAGATTGTCGTGATAAAGGAAACATCGCGATGTCTAATAATATCTTTTGAAAAAATTATATATCTGCAATCATAGATAAATAGGGTAATGTGACGTTAAAAAATTAAAATATTACCAGTAACTACATGTTCTATAATATTATTAACGAACCAATAATGTGTTTTATTTGAACTAATATCATAATCGTATTAAAGTCATTTGATTTAAATAAAGTCATTATCATAAAATCGAAAATGTAAACGTGCGCAGTGAATAACTTTATTATTGGAAACTCATCGTATCGTTCCGTTTATCCAAAGATCCCGATGAAAGCTTAGAAAATCGGGCAAAATTTCGGTATTGAACAGTGAGATAGGATGGCGGTCTAATAGCAATTAATTATTCGTGGTAATTGGTCAATGTTTACGACATCGACGCGGAAGCTAATTTATGCTCCTTTGTGCTCTTATTTCGCGTTCTCTTTTTACGGTTAGCCATACCTTTAATGCTACCTCTCTCTCTCATCACTTCTATCGTTCCCGTTCCCCCTCGATCGCTAACCCCAGCATACTGACTCACTTCCGCAATGGATGCGTATTTGCAAATGTGTTGGATCAACACGCGACTCTTTTGCATATGCCGGTATATATCGAATTCTTTGAGCATGATATATCGGCGTGAATAAAAATTAGTTATTTCGTTACAATCTCACGTTAACGTGACAAGTATATTAGTTCGGATAAAAACAGAAGGAAAAAAATTATTAATAAATTCTGATATAAGCAGATGTAACGTGCATGATAAAGAAAAAATCGAGCAATATATAATAATAATTACAGATAAGATTAGCCATACAGATATCGGTGTTTCCAGATATTTCACTTCCATGACATGAAAATGTCGCTGACGTTTTAAATATAACGTATGTGTAATATCTACTAAAAATATTCTTAAACAATAACTTTTCTAATTTTCTTCATTTAAATAAAATTTTGACATTTTTCATCTTATAGAAATGTCGAAATATTATTTTATCTAATTATAAATATTTATCTACCTTCTACGATCTTCAATAACATAGAGATAATAACAAATGTGTATGATTTGATTGATCCGACCATTAGAGCGGATGTCATCACAGCCATTATAAACACGAAACAATCATACATTAATCACGTAATTCAAATTAGGAACACGGAATATTTGATAAATGTCGCGTGGAAATATTTATTAGACGGCGTAGAACGGCAGGCCCGCCCATGTCTTCATCATCTATACGGAAACTTTATTCATAAATCGAACGCCGTTTAAAATTGCAAATAAAGTCGGACGACAGTAAAGTGAGTGCCGAGAGCTTAATGCAGAAATATGCGCGAAAGCGTGAGCTCGCTCACGCGCCGGCCGGTGCGAAAACTAAGGAAAGAAGGAAAAGAAAGAAATATAAAAATGCGTCCCTTCCTCTCTCTCTCTCTCTCTCTCTCGTTCTACGCGTAGTCGAGGACCGGGGAAATGCGCTCGCCGTTCTCGGTGATAATAAAAAATTCTAAGATGGGCATAACTTAATTTAATACCGTGGCCGGCGCGCCGTTGCTCGATGATATATATTTCTCGGTACCCTTCCCGCCACCTCCTATTCCGGCTTTTCTCGTCCATGCTGAAATCTTTCCCCTCGTTCTTCTCTCGCCCCGAACAAAAGATAACAACCGGAATAAGAGTAACCGGAAAGCACGGCGGTCGAGCACGGCGGTAGGTCTTAATTCAAGACAAGGAGACAGGCTACGAACGTGCACGGAAACGACGGAGAGTAACTCGGGACAAGGGGTTATAGGATAAAAATCGTCGGCAATTGTCGTGTCAGTTCATAATTAACTTCTTGGCAGATTCAATGTGATTGAATTAAAATTCTACTATACTAATTATTATATCTTAACAAAATAAATTAAAATCATATACATATATACAGTGCTGTGTAACTCGTTCAAAATGTGAACAAAGTCAAAATATGCTGTATGAAACAGAGTAACAGAATACAACTTGTATTGGAAGACGTATTATCTTATAACTCATTTATGGCTTATTATTCATCATTATTGATATATCTTTTTACAAAACAAAAATATTCGCTACTTTTACTGTACACGTTCTAGAAATATACATATAAGTGGATTCTTCGTTGAATTTTATATTAAGTTATCGCGAAACCAGAAAAGCAGCTGCTGATTCGTATTTTATATTTTATCCTATTTTTTCGTATTTACTTCTTTCATGGAAAATTAATGACGAATAAATTGGCATTCGCGACATCCGGAATTCATAATCAAGCGCGCTCGAGCGATTTTCATTTGCAATCAGGTTACTCATAAAACAAAATTTGTTCGTTTATCCCCGAAACGGATGTAATATCCTGATCCGCTTAACAATTTAACGTTAATCGATTTAAAATTTTGGTTAACGTGTTTCAAAAATGCAGAGAAATTCGACGGATTATAAAGAATACGTGATTTCGTTCAGAACGCAACGCGGTGTTATGTATAGTATAACCGATAATATATAGCGCTCTCTCTCCAAGAGAGGAGACTTTAATATAATTTACGATAAAACTCGTCATAAAGAGTGATGCGTATATTTTTCATGCATAACCCGTTTGTCGCTTTCTCTTTCTTTCCCTGTTCGCTGACGCTGACGTTGTCTCATTACTGGAAAATTCTCAAAAGTTTTTTCCCGGAGTATGCGCGTTCTTTCTGAATTTGTTTGCGCTTGTCCGCAAAGCGGACATCAACGATGCTTCTTCTTCGAATCTTTTCCCCATTAACACCATATTAACGTCGAGACGTCTCGCAAAAGAAAATGGGAAGAAGGTAGGAAAACGCCGACGGTGTTCCGGAAGAGCGGCGGAGAAGCTTGCGGAACAATCGTACACACCGCGCACATTCCGCTGACTTATGAATAAACATTTTTCGAAGGTACTCAGCGGAAAATTACTCTCGGAAATACCTCGATTTTCGTATTATATTTTCTCATGAGAGATTCTATCCTCTTCGTGCACGAATTGTTCTTGTAAAATCCGATAATCGAGCTTGAAAAATTTCTGTATTATCAGAAAAAGTAATTGATATATAAATGTTATAACAAAATTATCTCTTTTTTTCTTAGAAATTAAGTTTCTTTAAAATGTAACAATGTATAATGTCACGTAAAAATATTCGATGACGGATTTAGATCACCTGCCTGTGATATACAAATTAAAAGTAATTCATTATTTTTTAAAATAATCCTTTAAATAAATAAAAATTCAAAATAGAAATTTGAAGTACAAAAAAACTTGAAATTCTATTCAAGTTGACGTAGTAGGATTGATAATATAATTTACAGAAAGATATAGTATGAATATATACATATATGTATATATAGGTATACATACACATATATTGTAGAATTTTAAAAAATTTAACTATAATTGTGAGATAAAAAAAATGCGTATTTGCCAATGATGGTTTAACAAGTCATGAAAATTGTTTTTCGCGATTTAAATGTTTACGCGTTTATGATCAATGTTCCATAATTAGTTCGCTATTACATTGATAAATATAGCAGAGATATTGCTATTTTCCGCAAATGGTGCAAAATCGTTCCCCATAAAACCAATATGCTAAGCGCAAATTTATATAAAATTGATCTCTCTCCAATTCTCTTTCGCTTTTAAAGTTAACTGGTTATAAAGGTACCGTGTTTTTGTCACAAACGTAAAATTATTCGATCTCTCTGTTTAAAACAACTACAAAACTAAATTACTTTCAGTTACAGTCATTGATAAAAATTAAAGAGAAATTAATACACTTTAATATTTTATTCAAATTAACAATATATACGCAAATACAAAATGATATGAACTTTAATTCCTCATACAAAAATATATTTATATAAAATGCGATACTAACATTCCCAAATAAAATAAGGTAAACAAAATTTAATGCAGAGAATTAAGCCAAGAATTTCAATCGATATTATCTTGTGTTTAACCGCGATGTAATTTGCTATTTTTATTCGATTAATAAAAATCGACATAAAATAAAACGGATGGTGATTTCAGCATATTGATAATAGCGTTTGTTCAAACGTGCATGGGTATCACGGAAACCGCAACAATTTGTAATTTGTAACTTAAAACCTTTATATTACAGCACATTTACCTAGCGTAATCGACTCGGATGACGTGAAAAATCACTAGGAAACGTGCAGATTCGATCTTTTCCTCTCCTTTCTTAATCTCCTCTCCTTTCGATCCCCCCCTTTTTCTAACCCTACCTCTTTAGCTGTTAATGGTCTCGATCACGAAAGCAGTTAAAAATCAAGACTTCGGCACGGAACCACTTCGACTGCGAGAAAATACTTAGAAAAAAAAGGCTTTTCGAGATGGCAGAACCATTACATCTTGAAAACTTTGTTTAATGCTGCTCGAAGATCGAATCTTTTTCGAGACGCGAAACAGACCTCTTAAGGCTTAATATATAAAATCGTAAGATGTAACGAGTATTTGTTTCTTAAAGTCATATCACGAGTTTTATTGCGCACGATGGCAATTTCGCGTTTACCAAGCTAAACAAGATATCGATAACGACCAGTGACTCGCGCTTTCCGTATAAGTTATCATCATCGTGTGCTTATGGGGTGGTTCTCTTTCTCTCTCGACGCGAATCAAAGAAAAGCTGATTTGAAAAAGAGTGCACCGGGAAGGAAAGGGCCGGCCGTAACGATCCTTCTTTTCGCGGACGGTATTTAGAAATGTCGTCGAAGACGATGGAGACGGCGCGGCGGCGAGATATCCCTTTTCAAAGGCGTCTGCAGGAAAATTCTCGCGGAAAGGAAAAATCTGTAACTCGACGGGAGTAGCGCGAGGAATCCAATTGTCAGTGCCAA